TTTGTGGCAATGATTCAGAATTAATTGACTACAGAATACTATAGGTAGAAACCTAGCCCCTGAAGTCTTTAAGACTTTCAACATTCTCCTTGGCGGCAAATATGCAACGGATAGATACATAGCCGAACATGGACAAGATGAAATTGTTGGCACTAACAGCTCTCCCTAAAATCCCCTTCCAGATAGTGTAGCACGCCATCTCGTCATTCTGGCCATCGCTTTGACACATAGGTAATCAAGTCGACCCACTGACAAATCTTCATTACCCAAACGAAGTCCCAAGAATCACATTTGCGTGCTCGTCTGTACGACCATCAAGGGGCAGTGAGCCAGTGGCTGAAAATCATACCAGGTGAAAGGCAATGACGGGGCGTTCTATTCGGGGGTGAAGACGGTAGCCTGTTCTGAAGAATTTTAGGAAGAACTTCCTACAGGGCCGTGAGAAGAGATATCAACCTCCAATTCCAAATGACTCTCCTATCACCCTTCTTGTGGAGGAAACAACAACATAAACCACCAGTACCTCGCCCAGCTATCAAGTCCAAGGCTCGGACTACCAGTGGCCCGATCATTGCCAAGCCTCCTACTTTATTGCCATGAAAAAAGAGGGGCAAGTACCCCTGTTCAGAATGGGCAAAAAAAACACAGGTCAGCATGTCCCTGTCCTTCCCAGTTCATAAAGGCAAAAAAACTGTTACATCTCGCTGCGCTCCCGTGATATGGCAAGTTGAAAATGGGCAGTTTTGTCTTTTTCAGGACCCATTCCTTCCTGGGTACCGGGGCCGTCCATTTCAGTTGGGATAAAGGATCGGAGGACGGTACCCCGCCCATTTCAGTTGAGATAAAGGGTCGGAGGACAGAGTAGCACCTGCCCGGGATGAAGTCCCACATGCAACGTAGAGTATCTGGACGTGTTTGTGGAGATGTTTGGGTCAGGAAACTCAACGTCGTTTCTGCATAGACACATCCAGATTCGAGCATCGAGAAAAGGCAAGGCTGTTGTGGGACTCTGCACCCAGCACTGTGGAGCTCGCGCAGAGAGGTTGCAAATTCCGTTACAAGTGGAGTCCCGGTGGACTGCGCGGGCGAATTAAGAACTGGGAGCGGGCGCAAATTTGTTCCCACAGAGAGAGAGAGAGAGAGAGAGAATAAAGCTATGTTCTTCTCTCAATTTCACCTCACACTACCTAGCTAGCACTACTCCTAATTGTAGGCATACGGGGAACCCCGTAGCAGCCAGAACCGTGTTCCGCAGATCTCCCATGTGGGTGTGTTCATTACTTTTCATTTCCATCGACGTTTTTTTTTTTTTTTTTTACCTTGCGTTTTTCGGGGAATACCCATCGTTCGCCCCTTGGTATCCCGACGTGTTTTTTTTGTTTTTTTACCTTGCGTTTTTCGGGGAATACCCATCGTTCGCCCCTTGGTATCCCGCCCGGCCGCGTCGGAGTTTGTGGCTGGGCGAGGTATGGGTGGTATAAGCAGCAGTGCATCGTTAAGGACCTGAGCAAGAAAGGGGGGGAATAGTCCTTCGGGACATCCGTTAAAATTGGAACGATACAGAGAAGATTAGCATGGCCCCTGCGTAAGGATGACACGCATAAATCGAGAAATAAAAAAAGAAAGGGGGGGAAATTGGGGAATAGGGGTCTCAGAGAGTGACACATTTCTCATTGCATACCATGCAGCACTCCAACCACCATTCCATTTTTTTCTGACGGCAGGTCCGTCACCGAGGTTGACCTGCATTTCTGTTTTCTTTTTCTTTTTGTGTGGAGGCTCGAGGTATGGACAGGCACCTGGACAGGCAACCGAGGGCATCTGCTCATGCACAACCCGGGCACTCAGACGAGGGCATTTAACCGACCTTTACAGCATCCAGATCCTCAGTGACCCCCCCCCCCCCCCGCACTGGGTCGCTAAGAAGTGCGCATGAATGTTTTGATTTTCGTATATACTAAGGAATATATGTATTTTTTTTTTTAATTCAAGTAGCGGCCTCCACCCCCCCCCCCCCCCCCTTTGCACTGTTTGCACCATGAGCGAGCCATCAGATCACCCCATTGAACACCCATACATGCCATACATGACCCACCCCCAACTCAGACAGACAGACTACCAGTATGACTAGGACAACAGACAACTACCGTCTTCACCCGAATAGAACGCCCGGTAATTATCGCTGCATCTGGACCGAAAGTTGCGCCAAATACAGCTATAATGACCGGGCGTACTATTCGGGTGAAGACGGTAGACCGCCAGGACAACTCGGAGTCCCTGTGAGAAGTACATTACAGCTCAACAATTCCCTGTGACAGGCACATTCAGGCTATGAAGCCTACTTGCAGCATGCACAATTCAAGCTATTAAGCCTACACAAGTACCCCTACAATGCAGGCGCCCAAACAAGTACCGTCTTCACCCGAACAGAATGCCCAGTCATTATCCCTGGATCTGGAGTGCAAGTTGGGCCAAATGCAGCTATAATGACCAGGCGTTGTATTCGGGTGAAGAAGGTAGCAACCAGTCTGGAAGCCGCAACCTGCATCTTACGATGCAGGCGCCTTCACCCGAATAGAACGCCCTGTCATTATCGCCGTATCTCGACTGCAAGTTGGGCCAAATGCAGGTATGCAAGTTGTGCCAAACGCAGCTATAATGGCCGGGCGTTCTATTCGGGTGAAGATGGTAGCAGCCAGTCTCGAACCCGCAACCTGCATCTTACAATGCAGGCGCCCAAACAACTACCGTCTTCACCGGAATAGAACGCCCAGTCATTATCGACGTATCTTGACTGCAAGTTGGGCCAAATGCAGGTATAATGACCGGGCGTTCTATTCGGGTGAAGATGGTAGGCTCCGACCACTCGCTGTCTGTTCCAAACACTCGCCGTAATCGGCTGGTACAGTCACAAAACCGCTGCATACAGCACATTGCCTAGCTTCAGGATCTCCTCCTGACAACCAATCATAGCCATTGCTGATGACTGCGTTGATGACTACCGTCTTCACCCGAATAGAACGCCCGGTCATTATAATTGTATCTTTTTTTGGCACAACTTCCGCTCCAGATGCCCCGGCGTTCTATTCGGGTGAGCAACGCCGCCGAGTGCACAAGCTTTCTGCTGCAATCGCCGTGTCTCACCTTTGCTTGACAGAGCCAGAACACGACTAGACTGGGCGACCAGTCACATCGTTCCTTCGACGTCAATCATCGCCCACGTGTTCAGGATCACCTCTCTGTGGTGGTGCCTGGCGGGCTCTGCCAAGAGAAGAATAGGTGCACGGTTTCATGCATGCTCTGCACATGTCTCCGGTTCTGTAAGATACTTTATGGAGAACTTGACCGGCATCATCGCCCCTTAAACGAGGAGTTCCCCAACTTGCCAATTAGAGCCACAACCAGACACAAGATTGAGTCAGCACCTGATCCCTCGACTATCTGATAATAGCTTTAATGAGTCAGGAGCTGATCCCTTGACTATCCGATGGCCAGAGAAAAGGACACGAACGCTAACCAAGATTATAGGGCTGGTGCAACAGACTGCCAGGCCGTCGAAAAGCAGCACACGACGGCCTCGAACTATAACCAAGAGTGTGCCAAGAGTGAAGGTTGGAATCTCTACCAAACCTAAAGTTACTGAGGTTCAAACTCAGTAACTTCGCTGCAAAACGAATAATATAGCCAATAAACACGAATCTAGACACAGGTTCAAACGAATATAATAACGAATAATAAGCCACAGAAGCTGCAAAACGAATTAGACAATAAACACGAGTCTTTAGCAAGAGTAAGAAGCAGCTGATGTAGAGAAAACTTCAACCCAACGTTACTGAGGTTCAAACTCATAGTATATTATTTAAGCCACAGAAGCTGCAAAACGGAATATAGACAATAAACACGATTCTCTTTGCAGTTTTTCCTTGCTTTCAATTTTTCAAACACATCGCGCAATCCAACAGTTATCTAAAAGGGTTACTTTTAGATGATGAAGAGGCATTCAGCATCGGAAAGATGAACTCCCAAAGCCGCCTCACTTTCTATGTTCTTCTGGACCAGAGAAGTGCGAACAGGTCGAGCCATCGTCGTTGTGACCGTCGCAATTCTCGACATTCCCACATTTAGGCTCTGCGTCACCGCGAAAAAAAACACATGAGATCGTCTGGTCTGCACGGGTAGAGACTCATGATGGATGTCGTTCTCGCCGACCTACAGGGCAATCTGCTTTACAGAAGACGGGAGAGGAGAAGGCACACTATCTTTCTGAAGATTTTCGCTCAAGCAATCCTTATCCTGATCCAGCTTGTAGTCGTCCTCCAGATTCTTCCCCCTATTACCTCCCCCGGCCACACTCCCACACCCTTTCTGAAGACTTTTGCGTAAGCAATCCTTATCCCCGGTTTGCAGTCAATTCCAAACATCGACTCCATCTCTGCACCATATTAGTTCTTCACCGCCGTAATAGATAAAGACCATCATCAGCAAGATGATAACCGAGTTAAGAGCGTACAGAGACTAGGACTGTTGATCATATGTATGACCGTAATTACAAGCAGACGTGAATGCATCTGATCGTAATTACGTCCAGAGCTCAGTCGAAAAAGCCCTCGTTTGCCATACATGGGAGAGAGGAACTGTCCGCCTTGCACACAAACCCACAAATACAGAGAGAGACACAGAGAGAGAGAGAGAGAGAGAGAGAGAGAGAGAGAGAGAAAGAAAGAGAGAGAGAGAGAAAGGGGGGAAGGGAGGGGAGGGAGGGAGGCAAGCTCCGGTAGCTGAAACGACAAAAGCAAATAGATCAACACGACAAACAGACAAAAGTGCAAGAGAACATTCAGATGCAAATACGGAGCGCGATAAATGTGGCACCAAGAATTGCTTGTCTGCTCAAGCCAAGCTCAGATCATCATCATCATCATCATCAAAATTGCTTAATAAGAATGGTAAACAGAGACATGCCTGTAGTCATCTGTAATCTTCTCTTCAATAGAAAAGTAGATCGAAATGTGCGCGTTCATCCTCGTAGACATTTTGGAGGTGGAGGTGGGCGGCCTCCCTCAACGTTTTCCTTAGCTCAAGGCATAACAGGATAAAAACCCAGACTTACGGAAGCTACCAGGCGGTGCAAAAGCAACCATTGATTCCCCTCTATAGAACTCGCTGGCTCTGTGGGCCAGGCGTTATAGCTTGGTAATTTCCGGTCAATCTATCAACAAGCCTGACGGAATTTACGGAAGCAATACGATAGCTAAATGAAGACACCCGCAGAACTATACTATATTATAATGATCCATACCCAAAATGAATGAAGGTACATCCCAACGCAATAAACAGCTCATTCCGCGAATTACCTTCCCCGTAGCATAGTGCAAACTTAAGTTCATTGCTGACAAACGATAAGAGGACATGAATCGTCCAAAGCACAGCCTGGCATAGCCAAATATCCTGACCTTAGCATCGCATCAGCCAACATATTGCGTCGAATTTGGCAGTTGATTAAAACGGGTCACTGACAAGTTTTCCTGGAAAGCACACACACCCCGTCGCTGAGAGCTTGCACAAGGTCCACGCCGTCGAGACCTGTTCGACAGATAATCTGGCCGATAATCGTCCTTCTGCTCTCCTCGTTAAGCGCCTTTCCTTCCTCGGCAAGCTGCGTTGCGAGGACCTTCACTCGCTGGTCCTCGCCTGCCAAGTAGTAAAGCGCCAAGATTATCCTCTTCTGTTCAGAGTTGAGGTCCCCTCTCGGCGAGGTTGGAGGGCAAACAGGAGGGGCGGCGGAGGCTGGCGGAGCAGGACAGGCAGGGGGAGCGGGACAGGCAGACGGGCCGGGACAGGCAGGCGGAGCAGGACAGGCAGCGGGAGCTGGGCAAACAGGCAGGTCCGGCTTGCATTGCGGAGAAGTAATGCTGACAGTCTCCATGACGAGCTCCACGATCGACACTTTCACCTTCGCAGCAAATTCCTTCAGAGATTCCGCCACCTCCTTGTCTTTGGAGGCAACAATTGCAACCTTCACCGCACCAAGACCGCCAAATACATAGATTTTGCCGTAGATCTCCCACCTCTCTTTCAAGCTGAGCACGCTCATCTTCTCCACCAACGTCACACCCAGGAGGTACCCTTCGACACTGGCCAGGCAAATCAGCTCCCTGACCCTGTCGCACGCCGAATCACTGCTTGCACACAGCACTTGGGAAAGAACGTCTTCCTCAGCGAAGTTCTTCAGCTGATCCAGCAAGCAACGGTCACCTGCAACCACTGCCGCCAACCTCAGGGCATCGAGCCCACCCTCGCGGAGCAACTCACCATATAGCTCCAATTTCGTCGAGGCCGACAATGTGGTCGACTCCTTCAGCAAACGAATGGAAATCTCGTAGCCCCGCAGGCCCGCGACGTAAACAATATCCCTCAAAGCAGCCTTTCCCACTTTCGTGGTGATGGTTACACACTCAGTCACGCAGGGAGGGCAGGCCGGAGGCGCGGGCTCCTCAGGCTTCGGCAAGCAAGCAGCCGGAACTGGGCACTCGTCCAAGTACCCTCCCTTGCACAGGAACACAGTGAGGTCCTGGACAATAACCGTCAATTCTTTCACGAAAGCGGCGTCCTTGGCTAGTGACACGCCCAATCGCACGGCCTCGAGTCCCGCTTCTGCGAAAAGCTTCGAGTAAATATCACGCTTGTCTGAAACAGAGAGTGACTCCGACAGAAGCCTCACGGACAATTCATATCCGACACAGCCGGCCAACACCACCACCTGTCGCAAATCCTGCTGTTGCTGCGAGGCTTTCTCCGCCGCGGTGTCGCAGACATCGCTTGCCTTCGACGAAAGATTAGTGCCCACGGCGACCAATTCCTCCAAAAACACGCGATCGCGAGCGAGTTTCGCGCCAGCCGCCAGAACCTCAACGCCACCAAGTCGGAGAAGCTCCGTGTAAACAGTCTTGCGCTCCTCGGCGCTCAAAAACTTCCACTCCTTCAGGATTTTCACACCCAGATCATAGCCGGCGATGCCCGCCCCCAGGACAAGGATATCCAGGAGCTTCCGCACAGCCGTGGAAAGCTCTGCCTCGGGAACAGGGGGAACGGCCGGGCAGCAGACGCTTGATCCAACGGCCGCGGCCAGCAACTCCACGTAGTTCACCTCACTGCCCAACACAGCGGCCGCCTTGACGGCGT